GGTGCATCCTGATCTGCTTATGATCACTTTATTATTGTGGGCATATTCTCCAGGAAATGTGTAAAGCTGCAACAGAATCTGTGGCCTCCAGCCAAACTGCTTTGCAATCTGAACTCCGGAGGAATGCTAATACTGGTGAGTACAGGTTGCCTGCGTTGCTGATCGCAGAGTCTCAGCTGAATCCAGACTTCTGTGGTGGCTATTCTTTACAATTGTGATCTCACCAATTTCTGCAGCTGCCACCAGGATGATTGCCAACAGTTTAAGACGAGACTCTCCACCTTCTACTCCTGTTCGGAGGCCTGACACAAGTGCCTCCAAAATCTCCATCACTGTATCCAACAAAATGGCAGGAAAAAGCACAAAAGCAGGTAATTTTAAAAATCATGGCTGAATGTATTTCTCTGCTGGCAACTTCTGTTCCAAGTGGCTTCACGGTCCCTACAAAACTCTGCCGTTGTATGCAGCTGTTGCCTTTGTTTTGCTCAATCCTATTTCTGAGGAGTGGGATAGGAGATGAATTAGGAATGCTGCATTTGAGGAGAAACTTCATTTTTTTTTAGCCTTAGCCTTTCATTTGCAAGATGAAGTTGCTGGGGTGTTATTGGGCTAGGAATTGTGCAGCATCCTATGTGGCATTCCTCCTGTCTTCAGGGCACTTTATTGAGGAAGTGCCAGGAACTTTTAGGAATGAGCCATGCTGGTGGGGTCCAAGCCTGCTGGGCAGGGAAAGGGGAAAGGGCTTCATGTTCCCATTGCTACAGGCATCAGATGTCCTTCATAAATCAGTGATGGTTGGAGATACATTTATTGTTTTTACCTGCTGCAAGAGAGTAGGGAAGGAAACACATAAGCTAAAAACACTTGCCACCTTCATGGAAGTCAACAAAAGTTAAATATTATTTTTGTATAACACATGAAGCATTATTCCCTGTGCCGTGATTGGATGTACTCCTTTCGCTGTTAAAGAGTATTAAGGTCTAGGCTTCTGTTGCTTCCACAAAGGTAGAATTGAGCTGCTCAGCTGGAGGACCTGGAGCCAAAAATGAAGAAGCCACCCAAGAATCTGAGCAATTTCTCTTTTCACACCCCAGTGGCTGTGCTTGTCTGGGCTCCTGAGCAGAAGCAGTGGGGAGTGTTTCTTGTGGCATTTGCAGGCAGCATAAGAGCATCCATTGACCTGCATCTGCTTGCTTATGTCTTCTTGTGGTGGCAGCTGTTTGCGCTCCTCGGGCTGAGAATCCCACCATCCCAATGAAGCGGCGCCGCGTCACAGCAGAGATGGAAGGGAAGTACATTGTCCACATGCCCAAAGGAACGACTCCCAGGACTAAGAAGATCCTGGAGCAGCAGCAGGCAGCAAAAGGTACTGTAGCTGTCTTTTGATTTTGGGGGGCGGGGCGGGGTGTTGCTTCTTCGAAGGAAGGAGGTTGTGGGAAATCTGAAATGAAAGCGGGGTAAGGATATGTAAATTGAGCACTTAAAAACAAAATTTTGATCAGGACAAACAGGCCATCAAGCAAAAATGGCCAATTAAGAGCATCTGTTCAAACCAAATCTCTTTTCATCTAATGGAATTGTTTTGGTCACTGAACTTTTTCTGGTCTCGTTTGCAATACTAGGCAGGGTTCCCTTGAGACGATCTTCTGCTCCTTGACTCCCTTTGGTAGAGAGGCACAACATCTCCTGCCTCCATTTTCTTTGAAGGGAAACTCAAGGGCCTCCTTTGGAGCAGCTGGGAGGCAGGGGAATAAAACAAATAAATCTGTAGCTGGATTGTTTTCTTGGGAAAAGCCTTTCCTTTTCTAGTCATTTCATAATGCAGATCTTGTATGCATCCATGTTTGTGTTCTCTGTCAGGTTTGCAAAGAACTTCTGTGTTTGACCGGCTTGGTGCAGAGACAGGTGGAGACACAGCAATAGGAAGCAAGGTGAGGGGAGGGGGCGGGCTCTTCTTTGCAGTTGATGGCAGTTTCTCTACCTTTCTTTCTGGTGTGTGGTTTCTGCTGACTCGGTGGTCCCCAACGTATCGGGTGCTGACCCAGGTATCCTGGGTGGGAGGTGGCAGTTCTGACCTGCTGGGCTCCCTGACTATGCCTGGATGGGGCCTGCTTTAGCGTGCCCCTCCCTGAAGAATGCAGCTACAGCAGGTTCCTTCTGGGGAGTGGACCCTTTGCCCGGGGGTCTTGTTTCTGACATGGCAGGACTGGGCTTTCTGGTTGGTTGGATCTGCTTTTTGTTTGCAGTTCCTTTCTTTCTATGAGAACTTGTTGCGACAGAGCAAGCTATAAATGGTGGAGGGCTCTTGTCAAGAACTATTTTTGGTTGGAGGTTGCAGCAGTTGCTGGTGTCAGGAAGACAAGCATGCCATGTCTGCTGCCCCCTTACACTGGTATAAAATCATTTTAAGAGTAGAGATCTGTAGGGATTCTCTACATTTAGGAGTAGAGCATATGAGTTTGGTGGGAAAAATCAAAAGTCTGGTAATGTCTTTTCCATCTAACATTTTATTAAAAGGATTACGTTTTTGTGAGCTGTAGCTCACTTCAGATGCACGAGTGGCTAAAGTGAGATAAGATTTAAACAGGAGAGGTGGGAAGGGAAGACTGGCTAGTTATGTAGACACAGGTGAGGCAGATCACCTAGAGTGCCTAGTGCAATAACACTCTGTGTGTATGTGTGTGTTTGTTGAGATCTTCTGAGATTGCCTAAGGCCAGTGGTACCCTTAGCCTGCCAAAAGCAGAGGGACCCACAATCGTCCAGCCACTAAGCTCTGCTCTGACTCTCCACAGCCCACAGGAGTGTTCAGCCGGTTGGGGGACGTGCAGGAGGACAAAGCGGCTGACAGCGATGATGACAGCTCTGTGCTGCAGTATGCAGGAGTGCTGAAAAGACCTTCCCAGCCCAAGGAGAGCTGCAAAGTTGGTGTCGCCATCAAGGCCAAAGCTACCAGCTCTGAGCCCAGGCAGGTGGCAGCTGATGCCGCTGCCACCACTGTAATCCAGCGACGAGGGAGCAAGAGTGTGGCTGGACCTGCCACTCCTGCCAAGGAAGGGATGCAAGGCTTGTCTCCTGCCCCAGGCAGTGTGGCCAAGAGACTGGGCAAGCGCTCGCTGAAACTCCTTGAGGCCCAGGACAGCAGCGTTACCAGTTCCAGGAGCAGGCCGGACTCTTCCTTCCGAGTCACCATAAACAGAACTTTAGGGAGCTCCAAGGTAAGCAGCTCCAGCCCTGTGGAGCCCCCCGGCGCTCAGATGGACCACACGGGCACCGTCAGTGTCTTTAAGAGGCTGGGCAGGAAGACACTGTGAGCCTGGCCTGGGACCCCACTTGGAGGGAGCTTCCAGACGAGGAGAGCGAGTGTGTGTGTGTGTTCATCTCTCCTGTTGGCTCCCTTTGTGATTGGGGGGGCGGGGGGCGGGGGCTGCACTCCAGAGCCAAGGCAGGTCTGCTTCTGTGAAGCCTTTGGTTGGTTCTCCCAGCACTGTGTCCAGAGTTGCTTAGGGCCACACACTGGTTGAGGCATCTGAAAGGCCAGTCCTGGCAGGGTGCGAGCGCTTAGATGGCCTTGGAAGAGAAAGCGAGGGGTTCTGGGCAGCCCTCTGAACACGCCTTTTGTTTTTTCTCTGCAGGTGTTTGCTCTTTCCTAAGAAGTAGTGTCCATAAGAGAGACAGGCGGTCCCTTCCTTCTTTTCCCTTCTCTGTCCTGAGCTTTCATCTGCCGATCCTGGAACTCCCGCATTCCAGGAAGGGCAACTGACTGGGTGCCAGGCATTTCTTTTAGTGGATGCTGGAGCTGTGCCATTGGTCTGGCAGTGTTCTGGGTTTCTTTCCTTTCCTTTCCCGTTTTCTTAGAATGGTTGAGAAATGCCCCTCCTTGTCTTACATGTCAGGATTCCTGACTGGTCTAGCTCGGTTTCTTTTGCTGCACTCCTGGATTAAGCTGTTCTTGGATTGGGTGTGTGGGCGTGCAAATGGCTGCACCCGCATTCCCTTAGACCTTTTTGAGCAAACAGAAGCAATCTCATTTTCCTCTCTTGATGTCTTGAGGCTTTTCCCTCCCTCACCTGCCCTGCTGAAGGTGGTTAGCATCAGTAAGGACAGGATGGGACGGCCACTGTATTTCTCCACCTCCCCCCCACCCCACTTGTGGCTCTGGCAGTGTGTCTTGGCGGGGGGGGGGGGGGAATCCTGGAGTTCAACAGGCACACACCCTCCCCTAGCTTAGACCCTTCCCCTCCACCCCGGCTGGCAGGATTTGAGGTAGGCCAATCACAGCTTTGTCCTTGGCCTTAGGAAATGACTGGGCACCAAAGTTTAAGGAGGGGGAGATCTGCTAGGAAAGGGTGCCTGGCACTGATGGGCCCCTACGGTTTCCCACCGGAAGAAGCCCCAGCTCCTTTACAGAAGACCTGGGAAGTCATTTGCCCCCACCCTGGCAAGATCTCCAGGGGGATCTGGGGCAGGCAGGGTCTTCGGCCTCCAGCAAAGAATTTCCATGGATGGCAGCAGGTCTCAAGCCAGGCAAGGGGGAGAAGAAGCCGGTCCATGCTGGGGGGAGGGGTGATTCTGCCCCCCCCCCGCCTCACAGCCGCCGGGGCGGAAGGAGGGTGTTAAGGGGGAAGCAGCGCTGCTTTCCCCCCCTCCCACGGTGTCCCACCTCCTTGCCCTCAGGGCTGCCGATTCAGACCGGCTACAGACACAGGGCTGCACGCCGGCTTAGCCGGCAGCGTCTAACGGGACTTCGCTGCTTGAAAGCGGGTTTGTCAATTGGAGCCTCTGTACATTGGGATGATGCGAGCTTCAAGTTGTACCGCGGCCGCGCAGCCCTCGAGCCGGGCCGGCGAAGGTATGCTCAAAATAAACGGTGTTTCCGCTCTGCTGGTGTCGCTCGACTCTTCCTTGCGTGGCGGCGGCAAAAGCTCCTGCCTTCCGGGGGGATGGCGACCGTCTGCGCATGTGCGAGGGGACGCGTCGTTTGCGCAGGCGCCGAGACGGCAACGCGCCTGCGCAGAGTAGCGAAGGTTGGGTGGCGGTGGGGCTGTTGTCGTTCCTGCTCGCGTCCCGGCCGCCCTGCCTGCGTGCGGGTCGGGAGAAGGCGGGGTTTGCGGGCGCCGTCGGACCTGACGCGACGGCACCCCTGAGGATGGCCCCGCGGGGACGCCGGTAGCGGCAGCAGGTGAGGGGCAGGGCGGAGGCGATGCCCGGAGCCCCCGCCGCCTGGCCGAGAGCGCCGGCGCCGGGCGGCCGCGCGCGGGGCATTATGGGAGGGAGGCTGAACCATCGGCCGCGCGGGGGGGGGCGGGCGCGGGGCGGACGCTGCCAGCGGCGCTGGGGCGGGGGGCGCCGCCGCGGCTGGTGCTCGGCCCGGGCCCGGGAGGTGTTCCGCGGTCCTCCCCTGTTGGAGCCGCTTGGCCCGCCCGGGCTTCCCCTCTTGGGGCCCTCGGAGCCCGGCCGGTGAGCCCCGCTCCCTTCCCGCAGCGCTGCCCTAGCGGCTGGCAAAGCTGGATCCTAGGCGGTCCGTGCAGCCCCTCCGCTGCCCGGGCTGAGTGGGGGCTGGCGCTGTTTGGGCCAGGAGCGCTTTCCCGCCAGGGCCGGTGGAGGCTCCCGGGAGCCCTTGGACTCTCGGGCTGACCAACCCGGGGGGGGGGGGGCCCAGGGGCCCGGGGCACCTCCCCCCCCCCCCCCCCCCCCCCCCCCCCCCCCCCCCGCAGCCTGGTGGGGCCGATGGGGCTGAAGGAAGGAAACCGCAGAGGGGGAGAAAGAATGCCTGGATTCTGGCGAATAAGGCAAACGCCTGGCCCCCTCCCCTTGCAGTCGGTTTCAAGGGGGGCAGAAGCTCAGGCCTCGAACATCGCCGCCCAAAGTCCAAGCAGCAACGTGGGATTCAAGCCTGGCCTGGCCGCTCTGGGAGTCAAGGGAGACCCACGAGTGGAGTGGGGGCCCTGGGGGGGGGCAGCCTGTGCAAAGGAAGAGCCCGCCGCCGGCTGAGAGGCAGCAGATGCCCTGTGCCCGCCATGGGACTGTGCTGGTTCTCAGCAGAGCTTCCCCATCGCTGCCCTTAACATTGCCCCTGTGGAGCACGCAGAGGCCCCAGAGGGTTTTTCTTCCCTCTACCCTTCTGCCTTGCCAGAGGGTAAGGCAATGCTGCTCCCTCCTGGGGATTCCTGACAGCCTAAATGTCAATCAGAGGGTATGACAGCAATAATCTCGGCCTGCCCACCCCAAGTGCACATGCATGCACGCACATCCCACCTCTGATCTCCCGCTGGGAGAGTTGGCAGGTGAGCCACCTTTGCAGCACTGAGTTGATCAAAGCCCTTCCGTCTCTGGGCAGCAGAATGTGGGCTTGAAAAGTGGGTGTTTGCGGTGTTACACAGACAATGGATTTCATTCCTTAGCAGTTTGTTTCTCGGGAGGAGGAAGGCATTGCCCCCGCCCCCGTCCTGGGTCCCTCCTGCCATACATGAACAGAGCCTGCCAACCAGAGTCTTTTCCGTTTTCCCAACTTACTTACGACTAGAGGTGCCGTGTGAAAGGGTACCGCTTGCTGTAATGCTAGTCCAGGGCCCTCTGCCACCTGAAAGGGCCTTTTGTCTCCTGGGCAGATTGGAGCCCACTGCCCTACCTTCCCTGCGTGCTTTGAAGAAAGAAGGCAACACAGCCAGCTGAGCTTTCTGCTCTTCTCTGGCTATCTCTGGGAGAAGCAGAGGCTCCGGTTCTTTTGCCCAAGCCTGGATTGAGCCTTCTGATCCCTTCGTTTTTTCCAGTCTTCCGTAATGGACTCCAAAGCTCTGATGCAACCCCCTCGCCGTCCCTGTCGCTCTCGGCCTCTGTAGCAACGGCACATGGTTCTTCTGGAGAGCCTTCCAACTGGGGCAAGGAGATAAGCTCTCCCTTTTTCACCTCCAGCAGCCACAGCCAGCAGGAAAGGGCACAGGATGCAGATGACTGAAAGTGGTTGTTTCACTCCATTGTGCCCTGCTCAGATAATAATAGCAACAGCGCTTACCTATATACCACTTCCCAGTGCTTTACAGCCCTCTCTTAGCGGTCTACAGAGTCGACCTGGGTGCTCCTAACTCACTGTCCAGTTTTGAGCACCCCGATTTAAAAAGCATAATGCAAACATGAGGCTGCCAGGGGGGTCAGAAGGCTGGAAAGAGGTGTCTAGACTGAGTATGTTTAGTGTGCCAACCAGGAGGCTGTTATACTTATCCAGTCTCTGGCGGTGATAACCCAGAAGGAATGGCATTGCTCTTGGTTTCCCCAGAAGGAAGGAAGGAAGGACCAGCACCAAGGAAGGAGGGTCAGGCTAGACATTGAGAAGAACGTCTTGACTGCGCAGTGCAAGCTGTTGGCCAGTTGAGCAGGTTGCCAGGGAAGAGGCGGTGGGCTCCCCTTTGCTGGGGATCTTTGCACGGAGGAGGCCGAGTCCCATCCCATTTGAGTGCTGCACATGTAGGCCGTTCCGTAAGATGGCTCCTCTGGCTTGTGACATGGGGCTCTTAGGCTTCAGAAGTGGCTTCCTTTGCCTGCTGAAGAAGCTGCAGCTCTGCCACCTCTTCCTCATCCCCCGGCATCTTTATTGGTGGTGGTGCTGACGCCGTGTCTCTCTGAACCCTTTGGCCCATGGGAGACGTGCTCCTTCCCAGGCATTTTGTCCGTGTGGTTTTTTTGCTCAAGCAAGCTTTTCTGCGATCAAGCCTTCGTAGGCATCCATGTGCGCCAGCAAAGCGTGCAAGTAGCGAGCTGCTTCTGGAAGGTGCCTGGTGTTGACTGTGGCAAGTCTGTGGTGTCCTGCGTGGTTATCCTGGCCTCTCCTGCTGCTGGCCACGGCTGCGTGGGGTGCAGCTGCGTGGGCTTGGTGCTCACTGGGAGGTCAAGGGGGGCTAGTGGAAGCCCCGGGGCCTTCAATCGGCCCTGGAGTTTAGCCGCCGGCCGGTCCAGATCCCGGGGGTGGGGGAGCCAGGCTGCTGTCAACTGGCTTCGTAGAGAATTTCACAACGTTCAGAAGCAGAGTTTGTTCTGCAGTGCTGAGTGGGGAGTAGGGCTCGGGGTGGCCTCCGATGTTCTCAGGACGGCAGCCATTCCCTTCTCCCCTGCAGGTCGCCAGGCAGCCTGGGGCCCACCTGGCAGGCAGCAGCCCGTCTCCGTGCCCTGTGGTGGCAGCAACATGAGTGAGGTGTCAGTGATTAAGGAGGGATGGCTGCACAAGCGAGGTGAGTGGTGCCCCGCCTGCCCTGTGGGAGACCCTGAGCTGCCAGCGGGGCTTCTCCCCCAATGGAGGCCTCTCCCCCCCCCTGGCTTTGGCTGCAGCTGGTGAAGGCCATCGCCTCTCCTAACCCCAAGGCCTGAGCAGCCTTCCCAGAGGCAGGCCCTCGGCCACCGGGCTGCATTTCTTCTAGCCCAGGGAAGAACCAGCGGTGGCATCATTTGCCCCGGTGTGCTCCTAAGGGGCTTCTCGGCCCTCTGAGACCCGCTACTGGTAGGGCAACCCAAAGCCCATCTTGGCAAGAGCCCCTGGTCCCCCGGCAGGGCTCCTTCCCCTCCCCACTCCCCTGAGCTGCTGCTCCTCCTCCTCCGGCCCTGGTTCCTAGCAGACAAATATAGACCGCAGCTGGGGGCTATTTTGGTCCCGCCGTGGCCTGGATGGGTGGCAGGCCTTGGTCTGCTTTTGCCAAGCGGGGCTTGGACAGAAGAGCAGCCTGCCCCCTAAAAGCTCTGGGCTGAGCTGCCCTGCCTGAATCCAGCAGGGTTCCTGCCCTGGAGCAGCAGGAGCCCCCCACCCCACCCCCCAAAGCTCTTTCTCCAGTCCGTGGAAGAGACGCCTCAGCTGGTCAGGGTCCCCACCTGGCAAGGGACACACGAGGATCTGTTCCTCTGCCAACCTTTAGGCCAGGTGGGGGCTTGCAGGGGTGTTGGGCCAAATGTGGAGGCTGATGGGGTCACCCCTCTATGCCTGCCCGTCCTGTGCGATGGTGGTTGGCCGTGTGGGCCCAGCGTGTCCCCCTGGGTAACCCCAGAACGACTTTCCAGGGGAATACATCAAAACATGGAGGCCCCGATACTTCCTCCTCAAAAGCGACGGCTCTTTCATCGGCTACAAGGAGAAGCCGGAAGCTGCCGATCACAGCGCACCCCCTTTGAACAACTTCTCTGTGGCAGGTGTGTTGCCCAGGTTAGCTTGGAAAAGGTGGGCGGGTGCCCTCCAGCCTCCCAGGGGCCCCGGCAGAGGCTCTTCCCCGGCCTGGACACGGGACTTGGGTGCATGAGTAACGGTTACCCTGGCACTGTCCTCCTCCTCCTCCTCCTCTTTGCCTCTCTGCCTTGGGGACAGCCGCCCTGGCTGAGCCTGTGTGGATCATGGCCGGGGGGACTGGGCCAGACCGGAGCCCCATGGCAGGGGCCGAGGCTCCAACCTGGGGCCCTTTCCTCCTCCTCCTCCTCCCCCCCCAGAATGCCAGCTGATGAAAGCCGAGCGACCCCGTCCCAACACATTCATCATCCGCTGCCTGCAGTGGACGACAGTCATTGAGCGGACCTTCCACGTGGACTCCCCAGAGGAAAGGTGAGTGGGCAGCCCCCCCGCCCCCTCCCTGGGCAAGGCCTGGTGCCAGCCTCCCAAATTCCTCCTGACCTCTCCTCCTGCTTGGCTCTCCTCGGCTGCCATGGAAACAGGGAGAGGGATAATTGGGGCTTTGGGGGGAAGGGTGCTGCAGGTGGGTTGTAAAAGTTGGGGTGCTTTCCTGCTTACTGCGCAAGTGCAGCTACTTATCCAGTAAAATGACTTATAAAAATGGAGCTCTATAAAAATGGAGTCTGAGGACTTATTTCTTGGGTTTTGAATGGAGGCACATCTGACCCCTCGCTTCGACCGCCACGAGCAGCTGCGGTTTCAGGTGTTGCCCAGGAGTGGGGGGGGGGGGGTCTGTTTGGGGTTGTCTCCCATCCTCCTGCGGAGTTCCGCATCCAACTGTCACACTCCGGTCGTCTTTAGGTGCCAGAAATGCCAGGCTCCCCTGACTGGGGCAGCTCCCTTACCAGCAGCGGCGCGTCCTCCCCTTAGGCTGCCCCCTCGGTTTGTCTCGGCTGCCTCGTAACGGAGCCGGCCTGCCTTGGAGGGCTTCTTAAGGGTGCTTGGCACCCTGAGTGTCCGTTTGCCTCTTTCCCAGGGAAGAATGGATGCAGGCCATTCAGATGGTGGCCAACAGCTTAAAGACCCAGGCGGTGGAAGAGGAAGACAGGATGGATTACAAGTGTGGCTCCCCCAGCGACAGTCCAGGGGCCGAGGAAATGGAAGTGGCTGTGACCAAGGCCAGAACCAAGGCGGTAAGCGAGGCAGGTCTGCGGGAAGGAGACGGCTGCTGATCTTGGCTACTTGAGGGCTGCGGTCAAGTTACGGCCGTGGGATTCCAGGGATTTTACCCGAAAGGCTTTGCTCAGTCAGTCAAGGAGCTCTTTTCTCTCTGTCTCTCTGTCTCTCTCTCTCTCTCTTACTTACTTACTTTTTGTTTTTTTTGTTTTCTGTCCCCAGACCATGAGTGACTTCGACTACTTGAAACTCCTGGGAAAGGGCACTTTTGGGAAGGTCATCCTCGTACGGGAAAAGGCCACGGGGCGCTACTACGCCATGAAGATTCTACGCAAAAAGGTCATCATTGCCAAGGTGGGCAGAAGCTCCGGCCCCTCAAGGGTGGGGCAGGGAGAGTGGAGAGGCTTGGCCAGGCCAGCAATGGGTGGCCTTGGGGGACCCGCCAGGGGGCTGCTGCCCAAGAGCAGACCAGGGAGGGGGGAGGGTGTCCAACGCTCTTAGCGGCCAGAGGAAGAAGGCCCCGCCCACCCTGCCCTGGAGAGGACTGACCCAGAGCCCTTCCTCAGAAAACTTGGTGGTGGGGGAGCCCTTTGGGATCGGGGGTTTTCTGCGCCTCCAGAGAGAGAGAGAGAAACAAGCTCTGGAAGGATTTACCGCTGCTGCTCAGACAGTTTGATTCTGGGAAGCCCCCTTCCTCTGCCATCCCAGAGAAGAGTGGATCCGAAGGATTCCCCTGCGCTCCTCCCCTCCCCCCCCCCAAAGTTAGCCATTTGGCCAAGGAGCACTGCCTGTTTCAGCCAGGGGGCCAGAAGGGCCCGTCTTTACTCCCACCAGCTGTTCCTCTTCCCCGGCCCTGGGGAGGGTTGGCATTCCTGCCAGTTTCCTGGAGCCTGGAGAGGACGGCTGTGGCGGGGTGGGGGGTGGTAGGTGCTTGCCAGGTGCACTGGGTGAGGACGCTCTTCCCTCTTCCAAGGATGAAGTGGCCCACACCGTCACGGAGAGCCGAGTGCTGCAGAACACGAGGCACCCCTTTCTCACGGTACATGCCAGGGGGGGGCTGGCCATGATCCAGGGGGGCTTCAGAATACTTCCCCGCTAGCCAGGAGTATGCTTTGCTTCTGGTTGAGAAGAGGGGGGCGCTCAGAGCCAGTCAAAGCCTGGGGTCCTGCCCCAAGGGCCCAGACTGAACCCTCCTCCTCCTCCTCCTCCTCCTCCGCCTCTCTCCCCATGAGGCGGCACCAGAATACACAAGGCAGAAGAAGAAGGGTAGGGCAGGGTGGTGGGCCTAGGCCTGGGGCTGGTTTGACTCAGAGCACAGGGCCAGGGTGGGCAGGGGGCAGCTTCTCTGGAGGGGCCGCTTCTGAGGGAAATCTCTGCCCCTCTTCCTAGGCCCTGAAATACGCCTTCCAGACCAACGACCGCCTCTGCTTCGTCATGGAATACGCCAACGGAGGGGAGGTGGGTGTCTGCCAGGAGCCCCTTCCTTGGAGTTGCTGGGCCTGCTTCCCCCTGACCTGGCTGCTTCCCTTCCAGCTGTTCTTCCACCTCTCACGAGAACGCGTCTTCACGGAGGAGCGTGCCCGCTTCTACGGGGCTGAGATCGTTTCTGCCCTGGAGTATCTCCACTCGCGGGATGTGGTCTACCGTGACATCAAGGTGGAGATGAGGGTCCAACGGGGTGGCCCCCAGGCCAGCTGTGGGGTGGGGGTGGAGGGCTCCCCTCGGCTGGGGTCCAACCGCCTTTGTGCCTTTCAGCTGGAGAACCTCATGCTGGATAAAGACGGGCACATCAAAATCACGGACTTTGGGCTGTGCAAGGAAGGTGTTTCCGATGGAGCCACCATGAAGACCTTCTGTGGGACACCGGAGTACCTGGCCCCAGAGGTATTGGGGGAAGGGCGGGTCCAGCCTTGACCAGCCTCAGAGGGCCCGGGGCTGCCTTCCCTGGGTTTCCATCCCCCGCTGCCCTTTTCCCCGCAGGTGCTGGAGGACAATGATTACGGGCGGGCCGTGGACTGGTGGGGCCTGGGCGTGGTCATGTACGAGATGATGTGCGGCCGGCTGCCCTTCTACAGCCAGGACCACGAGCGCCTCTTTGAGCTGATCCTCCTGGAGGAGATCCGCTTCCCCCGCACCCTCAGTCCTGAAGCCAAGGCCCTGCTGGCCAGCCTGCTCAAGAAGGACCCCAAGCAGAGGTGAGGGAGTTCCCGGCTGCCCTTTGCTTGGGCCTTTGCTTGCCCGGGGGGGGGGGGGGGGGGGGGGATTGGGGGCAGGGGCCCTTGGGCTTGGCTGCTGGACGTGCCGGGGAGCAGGGGAGGCCAAGAGCTGGATCTGGCAGTGGGGGGGAGGGGTGTCCTTTCATCAGATTCAAAGGCCAAGCCGTGGTTGGCATGAATTTGGCATTTGGAATAAAATACAGTTGACTTCTGTCTTTTAGAGATTGAAATAAACGCTTAGCACATAGTTTGCACAAACACACGTATAACGTGAGCGCCCTCCTCTGGGCAGAATATACACCGCTGGGGTGCAGCTGGGGGAGGTGGCACTGCCACCCTGAGGAATTCCCCCTCCTTGTCTTCCCCAAAGGGTAAACAGGCACCTCCTCGGCGTTTGCCCTCCCCCCTGAACCTGTGGGCACGCTCACATAGCCATGACTGTCCACGCACACGCAAAGCTCTTAACCAAGCCTTTTCTTGCCAGGCTGGGGGGCGGCCCCAATGATGCCAAGGAGGTAATGGAGCATCGGTTCTTTGCTGCCGTTAACTGGCAGGATGTGGTTCAGAAGAAGGTAAGCACTGCGGTGCTGCTGCTGCTGCTGCTGCCGCCGCCCTTTCCCCCTCAGGGCTCTCCTGGGTGGGAGGGGGGTGGGGGCAGAACCCCCCATGGGGCGAACTAAGCAGGCTCTCTCCCGCCAGCTCATCCCCCCTTTCAAGCCCCAGGTGACGTCCGAAATAGACACGCGGTACTTTGATGACGAGTTCACAGCCCAGTCCATCACCATTACGCCACCAGACCGATGTGAGTAGGGGGCTTTGCATTGAGGGGCAGGCCGGGGGAGGGGGCTCACCTGGTCCTTTGGTTCTGGCTTCACCAGGAAGCCCCCGGCCGGGCTGTTCTTGTCCGCAGACGACTGCGTGGACCCCCTGGACGCCGACCAGCGGACGCACTTCCCTCAGTTCTCCTACTCAGCCAGCATTCGGGAGTAGGGCTGCAGCGCCTCCGGAGAGAGCACGGGGCCGGCCAGGGCCACCCACCCCGTCTGGCTGATCCCGGCTTCCCATTTCTGGGAGCCAAGCAGAGGAGCCTGAACCTGCCACATCGACCCTTGCAGTCAGGACCAGCTGACTCACTTGCGCCCAGGTGTCCCTGCCCCCCCCCATACCTCCCCCCTCCCTGCCTCTGGGCCACCACTGAATGTCACATGGAAATTGCTTTGGCGTGTTTGGTGGCTTCTGAGGGCTGCGCTCTGGCACCGCGTTGCGTTGGCGGAAGGCAGGAAGCACCGTTCACTGCCTCACGTATGGGCTGCCACCCTGGACGCCAGAGTGTGGAGGCCTTGGTGGCTTGCAGGGCTGTGCTAAGAGAGGCAGAGCCCCGAAATCCCAGCGCCCTATGGGATAGTGGCCGGCTGGCCGGCCAGCGCTCGGGTGCCTCTTGAGGACAGTTGGCTTTTGGTGGAGCAGAGCAATCCCCATACCTCCGTGGGTGCTGCTGTTAAGAGGAATGTGGAGTTGCCCTCCAGGTAATGGGGAGCTGGCCCCCACTTAGAACAGGGGCCTTTTCAAGGTAAGCCGGGGGCCAGGCAAAACAGCTGCACCCTCCTGGCCCGTGACAGTCTGTAGCTGCTGCTTGCAAGGCCCAGGACTGGCCCTCGCTGGAGCGATTGGGCCCAGCTGCCCCTGCCCAGTAGTTCATCTGAAGGGGGCTGCCCTTGTGGAGCTGAGTTCCCTGGGCCAGGTCTTGTAGTGGCCCTGGCAGTGTTTCCCTCTCTTTCTCTCTCTCTCTCTTCAGCTGTGGAAGATGGCTGCCTGCCTCTCCCATCTCTGGCCCAGTGGGGTAGGCAGCCCCCTGACCTCTGGCCCTCCTCCTCATGGCTGCAGGGCCCTGCCTTGGGAGGAAGGGAGGTTTGCCAGTCGGGGGCCTTTTGCCTTGCCCCCCAGGCCTATGTGTCTTGACCGGGGAAGAAGCAGGCCAGTCCAGGCAGCCTGGAGCCGCTCGACTCTGCCAGGGCACAGATGCTGCTCAGCTGAGTTGCCACAGAGGGCCCAGAAGCCACACGGCCAGACCCCCCCCCCCTTTGCTAAAGAGGAGGTTGTGGTCCTCTGGCAAGCATGGCCGGGAGGTGGACTGACCTTCCTGAAGCTGGCAAACAGTCCGCAGGCCCCCCCACCCCCTGTGCAAAGAGTGGCAGGCCTCTAGGGAAAGGGGCTTCTCCAGCTGTGCTGCTGGCAGGCCAGAGCAGTCCCTCCTGCCTACCCATGTGGCCTCTTGGGCAGGTACCAGAGGATGCCACCTGGTGGGCTGGAAGACGCCCCCAAGGTTGCCTTTGCTCTATCTGACTCTTCTATTGACCTCAGCAGCAGCAGCAGCAGCCCTGGGGTTCCTGGGCTCCCTGGGTTTGGGGGACCTGCCCGTGCCAGAGACTTCTGCGAATTCCACCATTGCTCTGGGCTCCATCACAAGTCTTCTTTCTACAAGGGGGGGGGGAGGGCAGGCAGCATGAACCTGGCTGCAAACATCCATGGCAGCAGCCCTGCCTGGCTTCCCGTGTCTCAACTCTTGCAGGCAGCCAGTGGCAGTTGCCCGATTCCACTGTGCACAGCCCCCAAGCAGGAAGGACGGGGGCTCCCCCAGGGCATACGGCCTCCAGGACTCCCGGTCAGCTGCCCCTGGCGCGGCCTGCTTGCCTCGCAGGGTGGCTCCCATCAGGCGCTCCTGCCCAAAGCCCCCTGAGAGTCGGGTGGGGGAACCCGGGCTGCTCCAGACCCACCGTGTGGCCTTCCTTCCACTGCACCCGAAGTGCCGGCAGCTCCCAGGCCTCCTTGAGCCTTTTGGGTCTGCCCATCAGACCAATCAGCCCAGTTCGGCTCCCTGGACTTGCAGGGCTGGGTGGGACCTGGCCCTCTGGGACGCCTGGGGTGGGGCAAGAATAGTTTCCCATGTTTGCTGTAGTTCTAATTCAGATTGACTAGTTTAACGTTGCCCCTGTTAGACGAGAGTGAAGCGCCCACTGGGCTGTAGCACGTTTTCTGCCCTGCTCGCTTCCCCACTGCTGGAAATCAACAGCACTTCTGGCCCTCTGCAAACAGGGCCAGCTCGAGATTCTGAGTTCCGTTTGTAAAATAAAGGTTGCTGGAGTGTTTTTGTAAATGTGGCTGATAAGCACAAAAACTGGAAAGGCTTTTTTTTTCTTTTTTTTTGGTAAACCACGGAATTGCCTTCCTCTACCCTCAGATTTGTACGGTACAAGCAATAAACTATGTTATTTCTTGGTTATACGGTGGTCTTTTTAATTTTTTTAATGTTTATTAAAATAAATATTTATGAAAATTTTAAAGCAACACCCAAGCTCTTGTTCATTGTAGTTGATTATCTACAAATTTAATCCCAAGTGGCTGTGGTCTTTTGAGGAAGGCATCTTACCTCATTTTTGCAAGGATGAGAGTTTTATCCAGGGAATTTCAGCAAAGCCCACCCATCCCCCTCTTCCTCGCCTTCTTTAAATCTTTGCAATCGGGGAAGCCCCCTCCTCTCAATGGTGAGCCATTTCCTTCAGTGCTGCACAATAGCCGTCCAGCTGCCAGGGGAGAGGTGCTAAAGCAAGCCACCCCCAGAGTTGCCCCAGGCCCACCATCCTCCCTCCAACCTTTGGGCAGCAGGCAAGGGCCCCCACCTGCTTCCCCTCTCAGGAAATGGCATGCCAGGAAATTGGTTCTCTGTAACTTTCCCTTTCCATTCATCGGTTTTGAAAAGGCCTAAAATTAAATCCTGCAATATTATATATATATATATATACCTTAGAACATCCAAGCGTCCCTCCTGCTCTGCTCGCTGGTGGCTCGTTCTACTAATGAGCCCTAATTTAGCCAAGCTGGGAATCCTCTGTTGCTCCGAGCTCCCTCCCCACCTTGTGGGTGTTCGGGCAAAGGCCATGGCGGGCCCCGAGGGGAGGCCCTGGACGCTGCTGCTGCTGCTGCAAAGAGCCGTTCCCTCGGTAGGGGCCTTGTTGGTGGGCCGGCAGACCATAAGCCGAGTAAGTGCCCTGGGCAGCCTGTTGGGGGGTCATTGAAGATACGCTCTCCCCTCCCTAAGGGAGGAGGACCTGCGGCCATTGTTTTTCACCCAAGCTACCCGCTACCAGTCCTGGCCATCTGGAGGAGCAACTCTTTGGCATGGACCATCCCTTACCAACAGGCCCCAGCAGCTGCCTGAGCTGCAAAGTGACACCCCGCTCACCTGGGTTCCTCAAACGAGCGGAAGGAGGAGCAGAGGGACCCCCTCAGTCATTTGGGAGCAAGGACTGCCCCCCCCCCCAACTTGGGAGATGCCAGTGGAATCCCTGCCAGATCTGGGAAGGTGGGAAGGTTCACTAATAAAATGAGGCGGCATCCCCCTTTGGGGAGGGTTGTGTGTTCCTTTAAACAGCCTCCCTCTTTTGGTAATGCTGCTTGGTTTCAGGTGGATGAGAAAAGGGAGCCTTTGAAAAGCAAGAGCAATGAAGGGCGGAGCACCGAAAAAGCATGTGGGAAGGTGGGTCACTCCTGGCCCTGCAGCGGAGAGCTGTGGGAGGGCAGGGAGGGAGTACTCAGCCTGAAGCTTCAGACCTGGAAATTATTGGGGTGCTCACAGGAATCAATCCTGGGGGGAGCCAACCCAAGGTTGGGGCTGAAGGGGGGCCACTGGCAGGAACCCAGCTGGTCCAGGGAGAGAAGGTGGCCAGCCCAACTTTCATGCCTCCTCCTCCTCCTCCTCCTCCTCCTCCTCTTCTGTGGGGCTGCACAAGAAGGCGTGTTTCAGCCTCTTTGCACCTGAGCTGTGTAGGAGCAAAATCCTCAAATCCCGCCCTCCACCTGCAAAGACTTTAAGCTGCCAGATTACCAGGGGGAAATGGGACCACCAGAAACTCTGCCTGTGGGAGGAGGTGAAGCCAGGGTGCTTCTGTCAAGCATTAGGTTGCATCCACTGGCAGCTGGTGGGGCAAAGGCACTTGAACAGCCTTGTGCCCAGCAGGAGGCAACCTCGAGCCCCTCGGGGCTCTGGGAGGGAGGTGGCAGCTTGGGCTTTGCTTTGGCAGGTAGCTCCCCCCACCCCGTCCCCAGCCTTGCCTCTCTCCCGGCTGCTGCCGGATTCCTCTCCTCTTCCAGAAGAAAGGCCTGGGAAGCTATGAAAAAGAGGCTGAGGAGCAGGGAGGGCCCCAAGCCCGGGCAGAACCTCCTTTGCTGAGAGAGCGAGGTGAGCTGCCCCTGAACCCCAGAGGACCCTGCAGGCCATCGCTTGGGGGAAGGGAAGGCATGTACCGCACTCTGTGACGAGCAGGCATCGTCCCCTCATCATGGCCTGCTGACTAGTGGTGGGGTTCAATCCTTTTTTACCACCAGTTCTGTGGGCGGGGCTTGATGGGCGGGCAGGGGAAGGAGGCTGTAAAATCTCCAGTCAGAGGCAGGATTGGCCGGTTCTCCAAACTACTCACAATTTCCGCTACCGATTCTCCAGAACTGGTCAGAACCTGCTGAATCCCACCTCTGCTGCTGACCTCCCAGTCTCCCCCCTCTCCCCCAGTGGTCCCAGCCTCGCTGGCCCTTGACCAGGAGCTGTCCCAAGCCATGCTGCGGATGGACATGGCCCTGGAAAGGGAGTACGCCTTCGACATCTTCAGCAACTTGATGGTGAGCAGTGGCAGTGGAGCCCCCCCCCGCCCCCCAGCAACAATGGGGGCCCCCTCCCTGGCAAAACCCAGCCTGGATGCCCGGGCGTTGTGCATCCAGAACCCAATGAAGGCATCCCGGATGGTGCTGTGTCGTCCAGCATGGTCTTGGTCATTGTAAGACAGAAGGCCCTCCTTGGCTTGGCCCAGGTTTCAGGGTTCCTCTGATGGCCTCTCTGCCTAGCCAAGGGAGCCAAAATCTCCCTCGTTTGGGGGTTGCTGGTTCCCTATGGCCTCTTGTGTGTGCCACGTACACCCCCTGGCCGGGGACTATAGGGCTCCAAGATGGCACCGCCTCCCCCTCGGCTCCATTCCAAGGAATGTCTCTAGTCCACGCACCTCCCCTGGCCTGCCCAATGGGCCCAGTGTGCCCAACCCTGGGTTCTGACCCTTTTCCTAGCGGAAGCAGCCGTCATATGCGTTCCAGGGCTTTGACCTGCCGCGGTCGGTCACAGTGGAGATGCGAGCCCTTCTGGTGGACTGGCTGGTCCAAGTGCATGTAAGTGCTGGGCTTGGGGTGGCCTGATATGTTGGGTCTAGAAGCAGAGGAGGGACTCCCCCCCCCCCACCTCTGCTCTGCTGCGGTGGATTCTGCTCCTTTCCCCCCAGGAGTATCTTAATCTGGCTGACGAGACCCTCCACCTGGCTGTCCACCTCATGAACTCCTACCTGAGAGCAGGCCGGGTCAGGATCCCTTGCCTGCAGCTCCTCAGCGCCACCTGCCTCTTTCTGGCGTGCAAACTGGAGGAGCACACCTGCCCAGAGGTGAGAGTGCAAAAGCTGGATTTGGGAGTGTCCATTGGCCTTCCAGAGAGCGGGGCAACCAAAGCAACTTGCTCTGGTTTAGTCCAGCAGCCCTTCTCGGTCCTCGGCCTTTGAGGCTGGAAGAGGAGGGCACCTGGGCTTCTCTGGAAGGCCCCGCCATGCTCTGGCGCAAGGCCAGGACCTGTTCTCTCCTTTCCTGCAGCCAGCCCAGCTGTGCTTCATGATGGAGAACTCCTGCAGCCGAAAAGATCTCCTGCAAATGGAACGCAAAATCCTGGCCCGGCTCAGGTTTGAGCTGCACTACGCCAATCCCATCCACCTGTTCCGCCTCCTGGCAGAAGTGGCCCATTGCACCTTGGAGGTAAAGGGCCCAAAGTGAGCCGGCGGAGCCAGAACCACCTGCAGGATCACTGGCTGCTGTTCCCAAGCGGTCCCTGGGTCACCTGTGCCCTGGCCTTGTGGGAGTGAGGCAGCAAGCATCCTTTCCCCCTCCTTCTCCATGCCTGTCCAGGTCCAGTTCTTGGCCCTCTATTTCCTGGAAGCGTCTCTCATGGAGGTGGACTGCCTGCGCTTTGAGCCGGCCCAGTTGTCCTTTGCGGCTCTGTCTCTGGCACACCAGCTGTCGTGGGAAGCCAGAATTCAAGACACGGGTGCCCTTCAGCAATACTTTCCAAAGTTCCTTGTGTACAGGTATGATGAGCAAGGTGTAGAGGTGAGGTCAATGAGAAATAGCGGAGGTGCAAATAATTTGGGGTCTCTCCCTCATTTCCCAGCTTTTAAAGCATAACCTCTTGGATGTGAGGCTGCCTGTTCCTTTATGTGCATGCTCCTTCAGAGGGCATGGGAACCGCAGGTGTGGCTGCTGTCCCAATTCTTGCATGGCACCAGATGACTCATGCCCCATGGGGTGCCAGGTTACCATCTGTGCAGCTGTGGCCCATTCAGGATACTCTGGAGGTCAGCTGCAGCCCAGGAAAACAGGGCCTTGGCTGTCTCCCAACTGCAGGGACTGGGGCATTTGAGTAGTAACCAAGTAGTAACTGGGTTCAGTCCGTAAGTGCCCCCCAACTGCTCCTCTCTCCTCACAGTGAGGCCGAGCTGTTGGCTGTCTTCCCGTACATGGCCAAGGCAGTTTTGCAGGGGGCCAATGCCTCCCTTCGTGCTATCTTCCTGAAATACTCCAGGCCACAGAAGCTTTGTGTCAGCACCAACCCTGCCATTGCTGCCTCTAAGTTCCTGAGCCGCTTCCTGGGGGATCCCCCCCAATGAAGGATGCTGGGGTGATGTTTGAACTGCCCCTTCCCACGGCATATGGGGATGGGAAGTGCAGAGAGCCAAGCGTTGTTCCAGGCTTGACTCTGGGTGAGGAGGGTGGGGGACCCCCTCTCTCCTTTTCTTCCTTCATACAGAAAGTTTTCTCACTTCATCCTGATTGGTTTGTCTGTTTATCCCTCCCTCTCTCTGCGGCCTTGAGTCTTGCACTATCCACCCCCCACCATGATTAAAAACAAAAAAGAGATTGTAAGCAAAGGGACTTCATATGTCTAATAAAGTGTTTTATTCCCTTGAAAACACTCTTGCTTCTGAGGTCAGAAAAGTAGGGTGTTTCTCCCTCCCATGGAATTGGCAGCACCCAGGAGACAGAGCTCAGTGTGCGGCCCAGGCATCACGGCTTAGGACCCAGAGGGGCTGGAGCTGCCCATGCTGGGCTGCCCATGCTGGGGGGGGGGCATCCCAAGCTTTGAACTCCCACCCCAACCAGTTTACAAGCCATTTCAACATCCATTCATACATAGTCCTGAGCCCTCCGTTAGGTGCTGCTGCTAATGCACCCCCATTGACTGGCTCCTCACAATGCCTCTCAAGCCAGCTTCAGCCTCGCTACCTATCTGACCACACAGCTCCCTTCAAACTGTGAGAAACCCGATCTATGAGTCCAACTTGGAAATCGTTGGAGAAGCTTTTCGGCATCGTGTCAAGCAGGCCTCTGAGGCAGGCAAGAGGCGCTAGCCCGCCCGCCCGCCCGCTGGGGTGCTGCCTGGAGCCGCCTCTCCCGATTTGGTCCCAAGCCATGCGAGGTCAGACTGCTGGTACTGAGGCGGGAGGAGTTTCCCACAATGCACTAGCACGCTGTCCGCGGTGCTGAAGCGGCGCTCGTGGCTCTGCCCGCCTCTCTCCCAGCTCCCCGTCCGGCGGAAGCAGGCATTGGGCTAGGCATGAGCCTCGGCCAGTGAAGGCGGGGATGGAGGAGTGCAGCCTGTACCAGAAGAGCTGCCTGGAGGCCGGTGGGGCCTCCTTGGTGCTGGGGACGGGAGGAGGCGGCTGCCGGGCCCGCTGTGCCGCAGCTGCGGAATTGGAGGCCAAACTCCAGCGGGCGGTGGAATTCAAGGCGGAGGGGCATCGCTGCTACAAGCAGAAGAAGCTCCGCGAGGCTATCGGCAAGTACCACCGAGCCCTGCTGCAGCTGAAGGGACTGGAACCGCCAGCCGCTGAGGGGGAGGTTGATGTGTCTGCTGGGAAGGGCAGCTCGCTGGTCGCCTGGCACTGCCTGTCAGCCGAGCAGCGGGAGCAGGCGGACAGCACCGAGATGGAGTGCTACGACAGCCTGACTGGTAAGAGCCCACCCCCGCCGCCGAGGTGGGAGGGAGAAGGAAGCAGCCTAGTCCTGTCCCCATGCCGGGAGTAGAGACCGGACCCCGCTCGCCCAGCTGGAGAGTCAGATGCAACTCCCAGCACTGTGGAAGGCCGACGCCCAGGGAACCGCTGCTTGGGGCCAACTGGAATTCTGCAAAGCTTAAAAATGTGTCACCATACTTAATTTTGCCACTGGGTCATGGAACGCCAATTAAACATGCTTTTTCTGGTAGCTTTTCCCTTTTAATATCAGGTGTTCCTTTCAATGGAGCCAAGCTGCTCACTGTACCTTTAGAAAACCCCTGTATGATGGGCCGAGACCACAGAATTGGCCCAAGACCCCCAGGGCATTTCATCGCTGAGGCAACGTTCCCTGCTTTGCTTGACCGGCCTGCCTCACAACTGCTCCCCAAAACGCCTGGCGATGGCTCCCGTCCCGTCCCGGTTGCGGACCGACGTCTTTGCTTTGAGACTAGTGGTGCGGGATGGAGGTGCTTCTCAGCGGCTGGCAACCTCGTGAGGTCTCCTCTGGGTCCTCCGTGTCACATGGTTTTGCCACGACAAGCCCTTCTAGAAGCAAAACAGGTGGCCAGAGCTGCACTTCCGGTTGCATTCTTGGTGTGCAGAATGGAAGTGTTCCATGGGTCATTTTAGGTGAGACTTGTAGCCTGAAATGAACTTCAAAAGCTTTGTGGTTTTGTCCATAGAAGAAAGAGAAATTACAAAATGAAAGAAAGTGCTTAGCATATGAAGAGGAGGAGGAGGAGGAGGAGGAGGAGGAGGAAGGCAAAATAGACTCATCCCAGTTTGAGGGAGGTGCCTCAAAGAGTTAATCTTGGGAAAAATAGGGAGCCATACAATAGACTCCTGGCTTGGCAGAACTAGTGCAGCTAGTTAGTTGGAGCTGGTACGGCGTGTGTGCGTGTGTCCGTCCTCGGAGCAGATATCCCCCTTCCCCTCATTTGCTACAGTCTGAGGTACCAAGTGGCTCCTGGCTGGATCAAGCTCAGCGTGGGTCCCTCAACCCCCTGACTCTCACCACGCCGCCCCCGCCGCAGGTGAAAGCAGGGAAGGAGAGCTTGGGGTGTCTCGGTGCCCTCCACTTTCTTCCCCGCAGCCTGCCTCCTGCAGTCGGAGCTGGTGAACTACGAGCGAGTTCGCGAATATTGCCTCAAGGTGTTGGCCAAGGAGAAGGGCAACTTCAAAGCCATGTACCGCGCAGGCATCGCCTTCTACCACCTTGGCGACTGTGACAAGGCCCTGCTTTACCTGAAGGAGGCCAAGTGCCGCCAGCCCACAGGTGGGTTTTTGGCCGGGCCGGGCAGAAAAGGGCCTCTCAGGGCAGCAACAGCTGCTCCAGCCTGGCCGGGTCCAGGCAAGAAGGGCCATGTCAGAGGGAAGCGGGAGGGGGGAGCGTCCCATCCGGAGCAGCCCCCCCCCCCCGGCTGCTCTCCTTGCTCACGGTCCCTCCCACCCACCCCCCAGACACCAACATCCTCCGCTACATCCAGCTGACGGAAATGAAGATCAGCCGCTGCCACCAGCGTGAAAAGGAGGAGACCGCGTAGGATGGACCTGCCCCTCCCTTCCGTCTGTCTGGCCAGGCCGGGCCTTGATCGAAGACTCAGCTCCAGGAATCCACGGCACCCACTTCAGCCCATCTGGCGATGCTCTCCAGAGACAGCTTGACCCAGAGCTACCCCCCCACTCCCAGACTGCAGGCGGGAGAATGTAGGTTTTTTTGCCAAACACCTCTGGGGCACCGAGTCCTTTCTTGGGGTGGAGAAGGGCATGAAGGCAACGGGCCGGGTGGAGCGGGACCTTCGGCAGGCTCCAAGGAAGGGCTTCTGGAGGGGTGCGCGGGCCTTTTTCATCTCCGTGTCCTGGAGGTTTTCCTTGGAAGTAGGAACAAGGGGTAAAAGCAAAGGGAACAACTAGAGGGCTCTGGGTCTATGGCCACCCCACTCCGACAGAATGGGTGAATGCAGCGTTCTCTTGGGCTGGCGGACGGAGCAGCCAGCGGACTCCCCTCTGCGTCTCAGGCCCTCCGGCTGCCCCCAAAAGCAGCAGGCTTTCCTCATGAGAGCATGGTCAGCCCCGCGCTTTCTGCTAGACTCTCGCTCCCTCGTGAAGCTCGGGGCATCCTAGGATGTTCTCTGCGGGGCGGGTTCAGGGGTGGGATTCTACCAGTTCACACCTATTCGCTAGAACCGGTTGTTAACATTCTAAGCAGTTCAGAGAACCGGTTGTTAGAAGAAATTACTGGGCTAATCCTGTAAGGAAGGCAGGAAGGAAACATTCTGGTGTTGCTTACAGAAACTGCCTCTCCGTTAACCCTTATTACATTCTTGGCAGGACTAGACTTCCTGTCTCAGGAACCTCTCTGGAGTTTTTTTCCCCTCCTTTGCTGGTACTTTGCTTGTGTGGAGTGACCATTCAAAGTTACAATGGCACTGAAAAAAGTGACTTATGACCATTTTTCACACTTACGACTGTTGCAGCATCCCCACAGCCATGAGAGGCCAGGCAAGGAGATGTGTGCCTCGATGTGAGTGATATTGAGTCGGCCACACCCAGCCAATAACATGACCACCAAGCCACGCCCACCACCTAAGCCACGCCCACTGAACTGGTTGTTAACATTTTTGAATCCCACCCCTGGGCGGGTTCCTCCCTTTGGCCTTGCTCGATCTGTCCTGCTGGGCTGGAGGGTCCCTCCCATCGACAAGGAAGGGGGAATGAAGCCGGCTGCTTCCATTGGTTGAGGCCAAAGAGCCAGGCTGCCCTTTGGGGCGGGACTGGTGTGGCTCCAGGATCTTCTCCCAGTGCCTGTCCCAGGGAGGGAAGGGCACCTGCCCTGTCCTTTCTCCGCACACTCAGCATCTCACCTGGCGGGGAAACGCTCCAGTGACGCCCTCCCCAGTTCTTCTCTGGCTGCCCAATTGCTTCAGGTAGCCCTTGGGGAGATTGGGCCGGCCTGCCTGGTCCCCCTCCCATCTGCAGCCCATTCCTCTCCCCAGGCTTAAAACCCAGGCTCTGGGTCGTCTGCCTCTCAAAACCCCTCTGGAGCCCCAAGCTGGTTCCTGGCCACCTAAACAAATCAATTCTGGGGAGAGGGGCTGCCATGGGTATCCCACCCAGCTGCCGTTTGGTGCTGGTGGGCAGAAACCCTTTGGGCAGGACCCTGGCCCTCCTTTGTGATTTGGGGTTTCTTCGTCCCAAAAGCAAACAGCTTGAAGGAACAGGGTGGGCCTGCAGGAGGGGCCCTGGAGACTGGCTGGGGAGGATGAAACGGGGTGAAGCGCCAGAGCCCCTGGGCCATACAAGGACAGCCATGCTCCCTGGGGGGAATCAATGGCCTGCTCCCCCTTGCTCAGTTCCTGGCTACCTTCACCCCCACTTGCAAGAATTAGCAAAAGATCCCATTCTGGTTGCTGCCTGCTGTGGCGCTGAAGCCCCGAGGGACAGGCTCTCGGCTGCTGGGGAAAGGGGCCCAGAAGGCGGCTCTCCCCGCCACACCTTCCGGCCCAGCTCATTGGGCAGAGGGAACGTGGGAGCACCTGCCCATTTCCAGGAGGCTGGCAAAGCCCACGGCCAGGGGCCTGTGCTTGGGGGATTTGCCATGTGGGGTGCGCTGGATGACCACTCTCGATTGCATCAGGCCAGGGACTTCAGCCTGGGCAGGAGAGGAAAGCATGACCACGGGATGTCCTGTCACGGCAGCTTCGGTCTGCCACCGTCCACTTCCAGCCTCTCCGGCCAGGCTTCTGAGTGCCATCTGGGGAGCCTCCTGGGGAGACCCCATACCTCCCCTCCCCACTGAGTATCTGTTTGTAGACTGTGGAGCTTGGCCAGCCTTTCTTCTCGGACGCCACCAGCTCCTTCTTGGCCAAGTGGCTTTGGCCCCACATCTGGTTACTGTCCAAGGGGGTCACTGCAAAACTAGGGAAGGGGAAGCAGCCTTTGAGTGGTGGTCTCCTCCTGCACCTCCTGGCACCACCCCTGATCACCTTCCCCAGGTCATCAGGGCATCGGCTGACCTGGAGGGATCTTTGGATCAATTGAAAGTGGCCAGGCCAGGGGCTCCCTGCCTGGGTCTCTCCCACCTGCCCCTTGGAAACATTTGCTCCACCCGACAGCAGGTGTCTGCAGTGCTGGCCCTTCCAGACTCATGGGGAATGGCTGCAAGGCGTGGGATGAGGCTGGGGCTGCCTGGGGGGCTGGGGGTCCCCCACCTTTTCTGCTCATTGAGGCAGGGGGGACACCTGCCCTGTGATCTTGTGCTCAAAGCCTAGACAAACCAAGAGGGAAGCGACTCAGCCCGCCCCCGCCTGGCCCTTCCTGCCTACCTCCCACCCAGTGTGGAGACCCCAGCCTCACCTGAAGGGAGGCCGATGTGCAGCTGGAGACGGCAGCAGTGTCAGGAGTGCCCCTTCCGCCTCTTGATCCAGGGCTTCTCCTGGCCTAGCTGCAGCATCAGCAGGTTCAGCTCCTGCTCCACCACAGCCACCTTGCGCTTGGCCCACTCCGGCTCCCACCAGCGCAGCTCTGCCTCCTGGGTTTGGTGCTCCTCCGCAGTGCACAGCAGCTCCCAGCTCCTCCATTCCTGAGTCACAGGTGCAGAGTGGAGGACCATTTGCCACTGGGCGGCTTTCCAGCCCTTCCCCCTGCCATTCCTGCCAAGCTTAAACTCTGGGGCTGGTAAGGCCCAGGCAGGGCATTGCAGGTGGGTGGGGTGGGTGACCTTCTCCTTGGTGTGCAGATCCTGGAAGAGCCCTGTGATCTCCATCTTCCAGTCCTGCTGCAGCGACTGGAGGGGCATCTGGAAGAGGGATGACTGCTCTGTGGAGGCGAGTCGCTGAAAGGCTCAAACCGCTGTGGGCCTGGGAATCGGGAGCCGCCTACCTGCCTGGAAGGGATAAAGTTTGGGAGGACCAAGGGGGCTGAAACATGAAGAAAGGCAGGGGTGGGGCAAGTAATGCAGTCCGGGGGCAGCCCCTCGCCCCCACCAGAGCCCTCCTGCCCAGGTGACTTACTCTTGAGGGACTTGAGATCCCGATGGGTGATGGGAATCAGGGCTCCATGGTGAAGGTATTAGCTCATGCCCTGCGCAAGCTGCACTGCCCAGGTGACCAGGATGTGAGGAGGGAGCGTCTTGCTTGCCAAGGCCTGGTTGAGTCTCCCTCTGCGGGCATACTCCATCACCAGGCAGAGGGTGGGAGAGCTCAGACAAACCGCCTTCAGTGCAAGAAGGTTGGGGTGGCTCAGCAGGGCAAACAGCCGGGCCTCCTGGCGCACGTTCTCCACTGTCATGGGGAGCAACTCCTCTGGATCCTGGCAGGCAGCCTTCACGGCTACCTCTTTTCCTCGCCACAGGCCCTGTAGACTTTGCTGAAGCCCCCCCCCCCAATGATCTTGCGCAGCTCCAGCTCCCAGAAGGGGCTTTCCAAGGCGCCCGGGCCCTGGGCATACTTGGGGTCGCTGGACACATAATTGCTGGGGAAGACCCCCCCCTCTCCTGGAGCTTCCCTGTCCACCAGCCCATTCCCCGAGATTGAGTCTTTGGACAGCACCTCCACTAGGTCTCCCCTGGGCAGGGTCAGTTCCTTCTCGGGCCGTGGCCTCCTAGTCAAAGACCAGAAGGGGTTGGGGGCCAGTAAACAATTGGCAAATCAAATAAATAAAAATAAATAAATAAAATCTAGAGGGGCTCACTGCAGCAGTCCTTGCGGTCCCTGCCGCCTGGCCCCATGGAGCCTGCCTCCCCCCAGCTCAGCTGAGAGGCTACTAGCAGATCGAGCCAAGGCCCCGTTTCCCAGCCCTCCGCTGGGGGGCGTCCCAGGCTCTTGGGGGCGCATCCCCCCTGCGGGGAGGGCAACTCCAGGGAAAGGCCCCCGCTCCCGGCGCCGCAGACCCTGCAAAGGAGTCGCAGTCCTCCCGCCTTTGTCTTCTGCCAAGCGTCCCAGGCCCGTCTTTCCGTATGCGCGGCGCCATCCCCCGACCAAGACCCGGAGAAGCGGCGCTCGCTCAGGACAGCGTGGCCGAGCACGCGGAGGAGGCTCCCAAGACAGCTGGCGGGGGGGGGGGGGGCCCGGGTCCCCGGGGCGGCTGCTAAACCCCCGGGGCTCCCCCCGCCGTTCCCCCGCCCGAAACAGGGCGGGGGGGGGGGGAGGGGGGGGGGGGGAACGGACCCGGGCCAGCCAGGTGGCAGCTCCGTGGGCGCGCGGGGACTAGCCTGCTCAACGCCCGCCCGCCTGGCCGGCCAGCTCTTGCGGGGGCTCCGCGCTGCTCGACCGCCGCTGGCTCTGGCGCCCTACACCGGCCGCGGAGCAGCGTCGCCCTCCAGCGCACAGACTAGGCGTCCTCAGGCGCGGTCCCGGGCCGGCAACCTCCGGCCCCTTTCTCGGCTTGCTGGGGATTCCCTCCGCAGCTGCCCCCGCGATGGCGGCACAGCCTCCGGATCCCCCTTCCCGTTGGCCGCCCCCGCAAACCTCGTGCTTGGGATGCTCTCGCCCCTCCCGCAGCCCCCGCCTCCGGGACGCCCTCCCCCGCCCCTTTTCCTGTCTGCCGCTCCTGCTGGATCTGTCAGCTGCGCGAGGGACGAAGGGAGGCCGCGGCACGCTGACATTCGTAGTTTCCACGACGGCGTCCCTCTCAGGGGGCGAGTGGGCAGCACCTGGGGACCCCGCCAGGTGGCCAATGCTACGGGTCTCCCCCTTTTATCCTGCCTGCCCGCCCCCCGGTCCTCGCGCTTGGTTGCTTTCCAGAGGCAGCGGGCTGGCTATTTCCAGCCTCTGACCTCCACTTTTCTCCTTCCCAATCCGAAGGAGGTTGTAGCGCAACATTTGTGGTAAGCGGCCACTTAGCGATCTGGCAAGAGCCAGTGCATTTGAAACGGGGGGAGGGGCTGCCAAGAACAGCTCTCTTATTTGGCATTCCTTGCAACAATGAGGACTTCGTTGGCATTTGGGAGGGTTGGCAAATGTCAAAGATGCATTTTTCAAAAAAGCACCTGGACTTCGTTTTTTCCTGAAGAAGAAGGAAGAAGAAGAAGAAGAAAAAAGAAGAAGAAGAAGAAGAAAAAGAAAAAGAAAAAGAAAAAGAAAAAAAAAGAAAAAGAAAAAGAAAAAGAAAAAGAAGAAAGAAGAAAGAAGAAAGAAGCAGCCTTCTTTGGCTCCGAAGGGATGAACTTCTTGGATGAGAAGTGGAACGTCCTCTTCCTCAAGGGAAAAAGAAATCCCCGTTGCCTCTTGAAAAAAGCATGTTGGAGGCAACCGTAACCTGGATGACCGAGAACCTCCAAGGATGTGGCTTCTGGCCCTTGATCCTTGGCCTGGAAGGTTAGGGGGCCTTCCAAGTTGCTTGACCAGGACTCCCCAGGGGGCAAACGGAGCAGTGCTGAGACGCAGAACCCCACAGAAAAGCAGGGAAGCAGCTGGGGATGTGAGGCCCACCTTCTCTTGGACGGCAGGTCCCAGAGACAAGTAGCCTCGGCTCCCCTCTTCTCCCACAGGGCTAATTTGTGTCCCAGTGGGCTTTCTAGCTGGAACTGGGACTGGAGAAGAGCCAAGGGAGCCATGGGACTTCTTCGGCGTTCTCAAGGCTTCTGCCAGGAGAAAAGTGGGCAGCAGCTCTCAGGGAGCTTCTGCCCATGACGCTGCCCCTGCCCTCCACTTCCCAGAAGGAGGTGGCAGCGGCCCTTGGGCTAGCAGCCGGGAGAGGGAGGAGGAGGAGAATCCCTTCTTTCTTTGGCCTCCCCCCCCCCCCATTTCCTTCCTTCCTTCCTACTTTTCCATTCTTCAAGAAGGAAAAGAAAGAAGAGAAGCAAACAAGAAAAGAGGAAAAACAGACTCAAAGAAAAAGAAGACAAGGTGAATGAACAGGGAATTTACAAATATCACGGGATGTAATCGGAGTATATTGGTTACTTTTCAATATCTCAGTTGGTTCACATGTAAAGATCAACACAGATAATCAGTACAATGTAAATGACAACAAATGCGGTCCTGTAATTTTTGTCCAAGCAGGATCTAAAGGATCTAAGCTTATTGAGCAAGACCAGGCAGTAAATTCTCCTGGGTCCTTTGTCTTGTTTTCTGACTTTTGCTGTTGAGTGGCCAGCCAGGAAGGCTTCTTGGCCTGCAGATGTCACTGCCCTGCACCTGGGGCTTCCCAAGATTTTTATCAGTTTTTCAGTCAAAATAATTTTTGAGCCACCAAATTTGGAAAATAATTTCTTAAGTTTTGCCTCTTTCTTGCAAAGGGATCTGTCAACCAGGAATGATATGACATCGTCAGAGAAAAGCAGTGCTCTATAATTTTATCTGGAGGAATAGTGATCTATTCTAAAAGTAATCTTTATCTAGCAGATTTTGTGCGGCCTCCACTTGCTCTTTTGGTACATTTGAAGATCATTTTGGTTCTGAAATAAGGTTGCTTGGAAATAATAATTCTCAAATAATGTATGATCTTTTGAAAAGAAGGGATCTAATATATGGAGTGTGACAGGTGGAATTCATATGGCTACTTTAGGAAAACAAGAGTGATGTCAGTTGAACAATGTACATTAGTCCCAAACAGAAAAAGGGTCCAAGCCCCTCTAGAGGAACATGGAAAGGATTGGCAGGTAGGAAGGCGAGACGTGTCATTGCACTCTGCCGGCTGCCTCCTGGGACCGGCCACTCCAACGGTCTTGGCGGTGGTTTCCTGGCCGCGCCTTCAGGCCTCTGTGCCCAGACTGTGGTGTCTTCTGGAGATGCGAGATTTGCTCTTCCCACAGCCCAAAACGTTCTTTGGTTTCCCCCCAGGAGTGCAACTCAAAGCCAGGGACCATTTTTCACCCAGCGTTTCTAGTGGTCTGGCTTCACCCGTCGCATGTCACAAGCACCGTCATAATGAAAATATATCCCTGTGTGCTCAGTGTGACGATGTCTCTACACTTATTTTGCTCAGACCCACCCTAGTCTTCCTTTTATATTCCCCATCCCAGAAGGTGATCTCTGCACCTGGTTCAGTGCATATGTTATAATATATATTTATCACACACACACACACACACACACACACCTGCATTCTTGCCCCTGCTGGGTACTTTAGAGAAAATGATCAAGTGAATTGACTGGGCGGGGGGCGTGAACACATAATCTGTTTTAGGGGTTTCCAAAATGCCCCCCCCCCCCCCCCCGCGCAAAAAAAACCCCTCACAACTCTGTGAGGCTATTCTTGAAATGAGAAAAAACGCACCACGGAGCCTTTTCTCTGTGGGAACGAAGCCCCCCCCCCCCCCCCCCCCCCCCCCCGCCAGAGCAGGAAGCTACGAATAGACGTAGAGGCTCAGCTTGGGCAGCTTCCCCTTGGGGAAGAAGGTCTTCCACTTGAGGTAGAGGGGACCAAAATGGGTGACACCTTGCATCTTGAAGGGCTGCACGTTGTTCTGGTAGCTGAGAGGGATGACGTGGTGGAAGGCAGGCTGTGGGGGCTGGAGCCGGGTGGAGTGGACAATCATCTCGTAGAGGGTCCTCTGGCCCAGGTCGGCTTGCGCCCTCTTCAGCCTCCAGCAGCGGCTGGACACGTACTTGCGCTGGCGATGGTCGCCCACCAGGAGCTGCTGGATCATGGCCCGCACCAGCGGGTTGCTCACACCGTAGAGGTCGAGCAGCGTGGCCGCCTGTTCCTGCCACACAGCCGCCGCCACTCCCTCCTCCTTCATGGAGGCGATGGAGAGGTAGAGGCCCATGAAGGCCTCCCAGTCCACCCCCTTGGCCTCGTCCAGGCGGAAGATGTGCTGCCGGCCACCCCGCCTGAGCATCTTCCGATGGAGGCGCCTGGTGGGCTTGGTCGTCTTGTACAGAGAGTCTTTGGGCAGGCGGTACCCCCTTGGCTGGGGGGCGGCCAGGGCCGGGCTCAGCTCCTCCCTCTGCAGGAAGGCATGCCAGGCCTTCTCCCACTGTTGGCCCAGGGACCACGTCAGCCTCCCGTGGTCCCTTGCTGCTGCCTCCTTTCTCAGGGAGGGCTTCCTCCTGCCCGCCACCCTGGCTTCCTCCAGGCCCTCTCCCTCCTCCCCCTCCCTCTGCCCCCGCTCCTCTGCCCGGCCCTTCTTCTCCTCTGCCCCTTCCAGGAAGCCCAGCGCGATGGGCCGTGATCTGAACTTGAGACACCTCTCCCTGCGCTCCTGCTGCTCCCGTCTTTCCTGCTGAGCCTGAAGCTTCCCCAAGGCCTGCCTGAGCTTCCTCTTCAGCCAGGCCCTCCGGCCCTCCTCCTGGCGCTCCTCCCAGCGGCCTTCCCGGCTCCACTCCCGGTGCTCCTCCCGGCGCTCCTCCCAGCGGCCTTCCCGGCCCCCCTCCCGGTGCTCCTCCCGGCGCTCCTCCCAGTGCACTTCCCGGCCCCGCTCCCGGTGCTCCTCCTGGCCCTCCTCCTGGGTCCAGGCCTCCTCCGCCTTCCGCTGCCAAGCCTGAAACCAGACATTGTGGGCCAGCCGCCTCTTGAGGTTCCTGGCCCGCAGCACAGCCTGGGCGGACTTTAAAAGCCTCTTCATCCGGGCGCCATACTGCCTGGGGCTGGCATTCCAGGGCTTGTGGGCCTCCAGCGCCTCCTTGAGACGCCCGAGCACCGACAGCTGTTCTTCTGACAAGGCCTCCTGCCCCTGCTCGGCTTCCTTGATCAGGTCCTCGGCTTTTTGGAGTAGAGCATCCACCATCTCCTGCAGGTGTGCCGCTGAGGGGACCCCGACCAAGGATGCCAAGCGGAAGAGTTTCTGGAAGGTGGCGGAATCCCTCCTCTGCAGCCCCTCTGGCTGAGTCAGGACTTCCAGGAGCAGCTGGGCCTGCTCAGTCAGCCCAGCCTCTGCCTCCGGAGCCTGGTCCATCTCCCACAGGGTCACCAGGGCTTCTCTTTCGTCTTCGGAGAGGAGCCAAACGCTCTCGTCCTCCAGGGCCCCTGGGGAGCCCACCCTCTCTTGGTCAAAGAAGGGGGCCCTTTTCTCAGCCCACTCCTCTTCTTCCTGCTCCAGCTGCTTCTCCATCAGCTCCGCCTGGGCCAGCAGCTGGGCTCTTACCTCAACCAGCTCCAGAAGTCTTTCCTCTGGCATCTCCAGCATGGTGGCTTCAGCCAGTTCCTGGGCCCTGGTCTCGGCCAGTTCTCGGGCCCCTGCTTCAGCCAATTCCAGAAGACTCACCTCATCCATTTCTATCGCCTCTTCCTCAGCCAGCTCCAGAACTCTGGCCTCGTCCACTTGGACTTTGGCCAACACGGCCAACTCCATGGCTCTTTCCTTGGCCAATTCCTCCGCTATTACCAGCACCAGTTCCTGCAGCCTTTCCTCCGCCACGTTCCCCTCCAGTCCCTCAGCCTGGACAACCTTTTCTGCCTCCTCCAGTGCTCTCTCCATCACCTCGTCCAGTGCCTTCTGGTGGGCTTCCGCCAGGACCTTCTCCCAAGCTTCCGCCAGGGCCTTCTTTCGGGCTTCGAGCAATGCCCGGTCTTTGGCCTCGGCCAGAGCTGTCTGGCGGGCTTCCGCGAGGGCTCTCTCCTTTACCTCTTCCAGGGCATACTGCAAAGCTCTCGCCTTCAGTTCCTCCATCACTCTGGCCCTGCCTTCTGCCCTCATTGTGGCCAGTGTGTCCTCCGACAGCTGGGCCAGGATCCTCTCGGAGTCCGTTAGGAGGGGCTTCTCCTGCAGCTCCTCCAGGCTGGGCAGCTCCTCCTGGCTCCTCTCTGTTTCCTCCACTTCCTCTGCCACCACCTCTTTGCCTGCAGGCTGGCCGGCCTTGAGCCTGGTCACTTCTTTTCTTCTCCTTTCAGGAACTTCCCGCTCCTTCGGCCTCCAGGGTTCTACTCCTCGTGCTCGGCCTTCAGAGGGTTCCCGCTCCTTCTCCAGGAGGCGTTCCTGCTCTTTTCTCCTGGTGGGCAACTGCTCCTTGCTCCGAGCAAGCTCCTGCTCCCTGGCCTGGGCCACCGATTCCTGCCTCTGTTTGGAAACCTCTTCCATTCTGGAAGCCCGCTTCTCGGACAACTTAGCCAACCGCCTCGCTTCTTTTTCGGAGGCCACTTGCAGTAGCATGCCCTCTTTAGCTCCACGTTGCTGGAGCCTCTTCGTCTCCGCCATTGCAGCTGTCTCCTCAGCTTCCTTCCGCAGCCGCTTCTCCACCTCCTCCTGGCTGAGCTCATCCACCTCTGAGCTGCTGGGCTCGTCCCCGGCTGTCCTCACGGCCAAGATGTTTTCCAAGCTCTCCACCGAAGCCTGGAGCCACGATTCCTTCAGTGAAAGCTTGACGAAGTCATCCATGTACTTCTTCCAGGCAGGGGTCTCTGTGGTCAGCTTCTCTTGGGAGCTGAGCAGGGCCCGGCTGAGGTTGGTCAAGAGTTCCCAAGAGAGGTTCTGGCCGGTAAGGGCGATTCGGGCGGAGGCCAGGAAGTCCTCCCCTGCAGTGCGCCCTTCGACCGAGGGGGCAATGCGCAGCATCATCAGCTTGTAGAGGTCGTTGCGCCAGTTGGACTTGTCGGCCCCATACTGCTGCTTGGGATCGATGAGGCTGCGTCGGGCAGGGGGGTGGGGCGGGGGCTCCGGGAGCAGCGTGGGGA